GGGAGGAAATGGGCAGACTTTGGGGCGCTCATGGCCGTGGAGATGAAATTGTCATGAAGAGGAATATTTATTTCTACTTTTCATTTAGCCATGTTCAAAGGGGATTTGAGAGGATTCAGGACACACACATACACACACACACACACACACACACACACACACTTAAAGAAAAGAGAGGTGACAATTGGAAACTATTTAAAGGCAGGAGAAAGATAAATGGGCCAGGAATCTGTTTGGAGTGAGTGCCTACAGTTGGCATGGCCACCACAGGATGGGACCCATGTTGTAACTGTCCAACACTCAGGGGGCTCACTCACTGTGGGTTCAGGCAATCAGGAAAGGCTTTCTGGAGGAGGCGGAACCAGTCTGGGGACTTGACAGATGGCAGGAGTCCTAAACAGGAAGAACAAATAGGAACAACATTCCAGCGGCCAGACTGGAGTGAAAGCAAATCAGAGAAATGGAGCTGAGTGGCTGGCAAATGGGGGGCCAGGGAGGGGCTGGCAATGGGAGTGGGGAGTTTGAGGTACAGTTCGCAGGTAGGAGAGACAATTTGTCTGGGGGATATAAAGAAATGAGAGTCCCTGTGGCCATTGACAGAAAGGTGGTGGGGTGGTCAAAGTGCTGGGAGCTCTTAGGAGGTGCCCAGACTAGCTTGGCATCACCCCAATATTCCCCAATTCTAATACAGTCCCCTCAGCTCCCTCTTCCTGCAGCCCCTTCCTTCTACGAATTCAGCTCAGCATCCCAGCAAAGAGGGGCCTTTCAAGGAAGGGTGGGCCATACAAAACAGCACCCCCGGAGGAGGCACCCCCTTCCCGTCAGTGTGCCCAGGCCGGGTCTGCAGCAGGAGGGAGGGTGGTGTGGAGGGAGCGGCTCTCCTGCCGCACATGACAGATGATTGACTCGAAACAATATCTAAGGCGATCAGGATAAAGTGCTGGCCATTTCAAGGCTCAGCAGAATTCAGATTCTAATTAGACTTCTCACCACATTCCAAATAAAAATGGTTCCCCTGGTATCCTCTTTGCCTATCAGGTGTCTCTCCCTGATCGCTGGAACAAAACGCATAAAGAAAGTGATTAAAGCCATAACAAAGGCATAAAATTGGAATTATCGCTGCCACCACATCTGGGAGCGTGGAGTGTCACCACGCCGCCCCCTCCTCCCAAACCCGCACACACGGAAGTGCCGTCCCACCTTGGCTCCCGGCTGGGCACCCGCAGTGATAGCCATTGGATGGGTGAAGAGGTCGGTGATGGGGGTTGGGGGGGAGGATGGAACTAGGGGGGTCCAAGGAGCCAGAGATTGGGGATCAAGAGGTGAATACAATGAGTGGGTGAGGGGTTCCAGACCTGGGGAACAAGGGGACGAATAGATGAAGGAGTGAGGGCTGGCCAGAGAATGGCCACGGTCTCTAGTATCTAGATATTTACTGGTGGGAAGGGGCCTTGGGGCTCTTGCCTTGGTGGCCTCACCGTTCTCAGGACATACATGTGTGTGCATAAACACATGCTATAAATCGTCTCAAGCACTCCATGTATGTCCACCCTTGTTAGGAGCCGGCCCCCCCACCAATAGACCCACTGCCCAGGCCACTGGACTGATGCTGTGCTGGTTTTCAGACACCTTTCCCAGCCTACCTTCAATAGGGGGACCCACCTATAGAGACAAAGTCCCCATTGGTCCCCAGCATGTGTCTGTACAGCCAGCACACACCTCAGTCCCCTACACTGCATATGTGCACGCACATGCACATGAACACCGGGCCTAGAACAGCACCCTCACACAGCCTACAATCTCTGGGAACATAGCAAGGGCCCCCATCTCAGTGGGGTGTCTCTGGCCTCTCCAGCTCTTCTGCCTCCCCCACTGCAGCCCCGCCTGCCCCCTCGCAGCCAGCCTGGTCCCTGGTGCTGGGCAGCCGTGTTCTGAGCGCGGGTGGGTTGGTGGGAGGGAGGTCCAGAGGAGGGTGAAGGAGTGGGAGCGGGGCTCTGAGCGGGGACGATATAAAATTAAAAGGTAAAAAGCAGGAACGCAAATGGAGGGTGCTTTCAGCTTTCACATTATTAATGACTCTTCAAAAAATCGGCGAGTTTTCCAATCTTCTCTGAGAAGCGCTTGAAGGAGCTCACAGATGAAACTGACCTTCAAAATGTTCTTTGGTCTTTAGTTAAGAAATTCGCTCGCCATTATGGCATCATTAGGGAAACAAGGATAAAATTACTCCATGGTTAATGACCTATAGTATCTCCCCACCAAAATTTGTTTCAGATCTAATAAAACTGTGCTTAACACACTCGGATGAGTTATGAGGACTGTTCTGCAGGGTATTAAAATGTGGAAAATAGATTTTCCGAAGCTGGGGGGACTGGACTTTTTGAATCAGATAGCAGAATGGAATTTTCTGGGCAATAAATTCTTCCATGTCTCAATTTCATCTCGCGCTCTCTCTCTCCTGCCTGCCTCTGCCCCTCTCTCTCTCCCTCACTCTCCCCCCCCCACTTTCTCTCTCTCTCTGTCTCCGTCTCTCTGTCTCTCATCTTTTCCTAAAATACTGAAGCAACACAGAAACCTTTAGAATTTGAAGCCTACATAAACTTTGAGAAAAGCAGTGACAAAGGCCATCTGTGTGTGACAATGGGAGACTGCATGTGTGTGCACACGTATGTGTGTGGGCCGTGCCTGACTTATAAGAGTGGAGGCAACTCCCTCTGTCACCTCATCCCAGTGCTTCTATACACACCAAGGTGGGAGTGACACCCTTCACCGCTCCACTGCTGGCCATTTGGCGGACCTCACCCTCTACACCAAAATCACAGGGCACATCCATGCTGATGACCCTTCCCAGCACAACCCCCCCCAGGACCTGGACATCCAACAGTGCCAGGCGTAAACCTGAAAGAGAACACACCTGTCCCTGTTCACCCCAAACTTCATGGTGATGGGAAGGGGCTGCCCTGGCCTTGGGAAGGGTCAGAGCCGCCCTATTTTGCACACGTGTGTGCACATCAGCACATGCTAGTACTTTGCACGGGGCACACCCGGATGCCCCAGCCAGCCAGGCTAGAGGCTGAGCCCCGAGCCCCGGCCCAAGCACTGGCCGAAGGTTTTCGGGGGCTGGATACTGCCGCGGAGAGAGGTGGCTGGCGAGGTAATGGCATTTTGCTCTCTTTAAACTTTAATCTTTCCTATTAATTCCCTGCAACTGGAGAATGTGTGAGAGTTAATGTTCCGTGAACGTGTTTCGCACTCGGCAGTCTCTTCGAGCTAATTACCTTCAGGTGCTAAATGGAGGGAAATTGCAATCCATTTGGATGTGAAAAAATTTCGCCTTCCCGTCCCCTGTGAGACATCCTTTTTCCTGAGTGCTGCAGAAAGAATGCTCTCTGGGTGGGAGTTTTTTTCCTAATGTTTTTTTTCTTCGGCCCTCTTCCCCCCCGCCCCCTTTCTCCAAGAGTCTGGGCTTTACAGGACTAGGACTAGGACTACAATGGTGGTTGGAGACTGGAGGAGGCCTGGGCCTCCACGCAAGGGCCAAGTCTGGGGAGGAGGCCAGGTGGGCAGGGACTTACATGCAGGGGAGACAACAGGGCTGAGAATCCGCCCCCGCCCCTTGGAGGCCCTGGAGTGGATGTGTATTTACACGCTTAATAACACGCCTATTACCAGTGTTTCTCAGCTGCTAGGTTTTGAATACAGATATAATAGAATTTTACAAGCCACATAAAAGCTGTCCTTCTCTTGGACCCTGAACCGGGGTGTCTGATAGGGTGGAGACAGGGAATGAAGAATGGAGGTGAGGAGGGAGCTCCAGGAGGGAGGCAGTAAATGTGGACCAGAGGGAAAGGAGGACCTGGCGATGGGGCTGCATGAGCACCAGAGTGGGGAGGGATGGGTCAGGGCCTCTGTCCCCACCCAGGGGACCTGAAGCACCAGGATGGAGGCACGAAGGCCAGGAGAGGCTGCTCTAGAAGCTCACTAGGTCTACACAGAACACCCCTTAGTGATGCGCTCATCCCTCCAGCCCCACCCTTGACCTCTGATCTCGGACCTCAACCTCAACACAGCCTCACAAAAAAAAAAAAAAACATCTAATTTCACCTGCTCCCACCTTGGGTCCAACCCACTAGCCTTTGCAAACCCCATTCCTTAACCTAGATTGGGGCAGCGAGCTGCCCAGAAATAATATTTTGTTTTTCCTACTCAACAGAGTGGTTTAAAAACAAAACAAAAGACAGAGCCTCCCAGAGTAAGCAGTGCTCCACTTGAGAGAGAATTAGCGCCACCTTGGCCTGGTGTCAACCTCCCGTAGGAGTTCTCTTTCTGACCTCAACTGTGCGACTTGTGAGGGGACAGTCATTCTAGCACTGAGGAGCCTCTTTCAGGAGAATATATTGGGAAAATATTGGAGTGGCTTGTGTTTACTTATTTGTTACAACTTTATTCGGGTTCAAACATATACAGATTTTAAATCCATGTACATATCACCCAGTTTCAATAACTATCAACACATAGCCGATCTTATTTCATCTATACCCCCTGCTCCCTCCCCTAGGATTATCTTGAAGCAAATCATAGACATTGAGTCAGTTCACCCATAAATATTTTAATATGCATTTCTAAAAGTTAAAGACCCTTTCGACATAACCGCAATCCCATTATCTCACCTAAATAAAAATTAACGATAATTTCTTATCTCATCAAATATCCATTCAGTATTCAAATTTCCCTGAATTGGTTTCTAATCCAGATCCATGCACTATATGTGGTCATTGTGGCTCTTAAGTTTCTTTTATTCCATATGTTACACTTTCTTTTCTTGAAATTTAATTATTGAAGAAACTATGGGTGACTTGCCCTATGGAATTTCCTTCATTGTGGATCTTGCACTCCTGTGCTATCAGTAAACGTGCTTTTCTGTCCCTTTAAGTTGGTAGATTCTAGAGTGTGTGGCTTTTGGCTTGATGTTTTGGGCAATCATATTTTATAGATGTTGTGAACTTCCTACTGCATCACATCAGGACCACACAATTTCTTGTCACTTTTCCTTTTTATAATATTAAGATTAATCAGTGGGTTCAGTAGCTACCAGCCAGATATATCCATTATAAAGTTCCCTTTCAGTTTTTTTCCCTTCATCAGCTTTTCACTTAATGGTTTTAACAGCCATTACTACCATTGACTAGATCCATTACGTATTTCATTAGGAGTATTTAAAATGGTTTCTTTTCTCCAAATGTTTTTTTTGAAAAATGTTAAACTTACAGAATAGTTCATTGTTGTAACAAACACTCGTGTACCTTGACACAGATTAGCAATTTGTAATTTGATTTCTCTCTCCTTCTCTTTCTGAAACCCTTGTGTGTTAGTTGCTGACACAAATGACACTTAACCCCTAAATACTTCAGTATTTATCTCTTAAGAACAAGGACATTCATCTGGATTTCAGGAAATTAAATATTTGCCTAATCTCTGAGTACATGTTAAAAACCCCTCAATTGTCCCAATAGTGTCCTTTTTATCCCCCCATCCAAGACCTTCCATTTGCATTTTACCTTTTTAATCTCCTTTATTATAGGATAGTTCTCCAACTTTTTGTTTTCTCTTTTTCATGATTTTGGTCGTTTTGGAAAGTCCAGGCAGCAGAATGTCCCTCAGTTTAGATTTGTCTGATTGTTTCCTCATGATTGCATGATTTTGGTCGTTTTGGAAAGTCCAGGCAGCAGAATGTCCCTCAGTTTAGATTTGTCTGATTGTTTCCTCATGATTGCATTCAGGCCAAACATATTGGTGATGATAATTTTAAGGTGGCATCATCCAAATTTCTCGATTGTAAAGATACCCTTTGCCCTATATGATTAACACATTGTCTGGAGTAGGGGCAGGATTTGAGACGGTGAGAATATCCTATTCTCTAAGGCTTAGAGTCTAAGCAGCTTGTATCCAGTGGTTTTAGCATTCATTGCCTGAATCAATTGCGACTACAGTGGTTACAAAATGGGAACTTTTATAATTCTATAATTCCTTCTACCTTTAGTCAGCACTCTTCTGTAGTGCATTTATTTTTAATAAGGGAGGCTGTTCCCATATATCTTTGATAAGAATGGGGAACCTGTGCTTGTCAGGACAAGGTATGACTATGGTCTCAGGTAATACCATGCACACAGAAGCAGTGCCACTAACCAGCAGCCTTGGTATACCTGTGGCCCAGGGACACCTTGCTACACAACCAGGTATCCTTATGGCCTATAAGGGACTCCACTTCATATAACAGGATTCAGCCATGGGTTCCTAGAAAAATATCAGCAAGATCAGATATATCTATGGTCTCTGAGAATACAACCCACAGGAAGAGGTAAGCCATGTACATGGAGAATACAGATAGAAGGCAGGATCATGTACACCCACAGTCTACAAGGAATACCACTCCACAGAATCAAGTATAGCCAGTGTCTTCAGAGAAACCTGGCCTCTGATGCAGCTCCAGGTGCACAATATAAGACATTATTGCTTCTTGCCCTGATTCCCTGCTTAGTTCTCTCAACACATTTTAGATCCTGGAGTAGTTTACTGGTTGCCTGGCACTGTTAATGGAACACTTTGGTGCACCTGATGCCTCTGGTGTAAATGGAAGGATGAGCTGCCTGCTGGGCAGGGAAAACCTAGGTCAGAGCCTTCCAGCTACTGCTCCTGGGATGAGACAAGACCATCCTACTCAATGGATGCCAGGCAGACACAGTACCTGTTCTGGAATGGATTGACCTGCACCATATTGGAGCCCTTAGGCCACAATGAACCAGAGCTTCTAAGTTGGCACTTGTATGAATTGCTAGGAGAAGACTCTTTCTAATGAAAAGGAGATCCCTTCTTTAACCGAGCCATGCTAATAGTGCTGCAAATGGCAGAAAGTAACCTGAGCTAGCTGAAGCACAGAGATGTTTACTGAGAATACCCAGAAGTATCTCACACCCAGGCTTGGAGAGGGCAAAAGCCAAGGCAGCTCTGTGTCCCTAGAAGCTGAAGCCCATTGGCCTTCTCCTTCGTATTGCCATCAATGTGTCTCTACTTGCATCCCAGTCTCTGGCTCTCTTAGTTCAAATTTCCTACTCCCAAGAGCAGGCATCTGAATGGATCACTTTGTGAGCCCCCACTGGTCATTTTGGTTTTTTAAAAAAATTTAATAGAATTTATTGGGGTTACATTGGTTAATAAAATTGTATAGGTTTCAAGTGTACAATTCTATAATACATCATTTATATATTGTATTGTGTGTTCACCACCCAAAGTCCAGTCTCCTTCCATCATCATTTATAAAAATATGGAATGCTTCACGAATTTGCATGACATTCTAGTGCAGGGGCCATGCTAATCTTCTCTGTATCGTTCCAATTTTAGTATATGTGCTGCCCAAGTGAGCACCCACTGGGCATTTTGGATCCGAGTTTTATTTTCATTCCTGGCACTTAGGAACTTCCATTTATTGCTTTAGAATGTGGTTATATAAATTTCAATTGTTAAATTTATATATTTTAAATGTATCATACATAATTATAAAGTTTATATTTCTAGTGAAAGACATCTTTCTACACCTCCTCAGTCTGCCACATTGACCTGAAATACCCTTATAGTCTGTGTTTATGGTCCTGGTCACCTTTCCACTAGGTTATGAACTCTTTTAAGGGCAGGGAATATTTACTATTTGTATTTTTATCCCACTCAAGTACCTAGCCCAGTTCTCAGCACTCAGTAGGTCCTCAGTAAATGCTGTTGTTATTTTTCTTACTGTTATTGTTTTTACTACCTCCAACCTCTATATTTAGGGGTGACACAAAACTAGATTCTAGATTTGCCATGAGCATTTAAAGTATACAGTCTGTGCAGCCTTTTGCATTGCTCATCTGAATTTCATTATTCATGAACAACATCTACCTCAATCACCTTCAAAAACAAGTCATCATCTATTAGACCAATGTTTCTCAAAGTGCAGGTTGCAATCCATTAGCAGGTCATGAAATCAATTTAATGAAATAGAATAAAATAGAAAATAAAGTACCAAGATGCATCACATATATAAGTGTAGGTATTGTACTTACAAGAACTGTGTGTGTGTGTGTGTGTGTGTGTGTGTGTGCGCGCGCGCGCGCGCGCGCGCGCGCGCGCGCGCGTGCTCTGTGTGTTGGGTCACTATGCAAAATTTATTTCTTATTTATTACCCTGTAAATCAGGGTAAAAACAGTTGGGAGTCACTGATTAGACCTTTCCCTGAGACCACACTTAACCTACCAGCCCTTTCTAGCAGACCCATCTTTAAGAGCAAAGCTAGAAAAACTCAAGGCCCGTCCTTTCCATATAAAGTTCTCAGAGTAGGACATCATGCCCCAGGGAGGAGGGCAGGTCCCACAAAGATTAAAGGCCCCACAAGTGGTCGGGGATACCCAGTGAATCCTATGAATCACAGATAGTCCCTGTGCTCCAAGCCTCTGTCTTTTACCCTAAAACCCCCACAAACTCTCTGGGAAAGCCTTTCAACTGATGTTTCTCAGGCCTCTGAAATCATTAAATGCTGCTTCTCCAGGGTCTTTACCCCGACAGCTCCTTGAATGTGTTTCTCAAGGCCACCGTATAATATCCACCTGGGAGAACACCTGGACAATTACTCCCGTGCGCAGCTCCCAGGGAAGTTATCACCTGCAGAACTCCCCCACACAGTCTGGAAGGTAGACGTGTCAGCTGTGAAGACTTTACTTTGAGCATCAGCATTGTTACTGAGAAGGGACCCAGCACTTGTTCCTCCTCTGTACCATCTTGAACATCTGCATATCACACAAGGACTCCACCCATTTCTTATATAATGAACCCTGGTATGAAGGGATTTGAGCCTCATTTAACTTTCACCTTCAGTATATTCCAAAATTCCAAAATAAAAGAAAGAGCTAGTTATCGCTCTAAAAAAATCAAACTGATATTTGTTAAGCTCCTACTACCGTGTGTCAGATACTTCCATCTGAATTGCCTCATTTAATCTCTATAGCAATCCTATGAAGTTCATATGACTATCCCTATTTTACAAATAAGGATTGTGACAGTTAGAGAGGTTAAATAACTTGCTAGAGATCATCTAGCTAGTAAGCGGTTGCTGAGCTGGGACCCGATCTAAGTCGGAGCACTTCACCATTCCACACAGTCCTTCAATGAAGGGCCTCCCTGCCAGTAAGAACACAGACTCCAGGACCGACTCATGCAGAGCCAGGGCTTTCTCTGCAGGACTGGCCCAGGAAGTGGGATGACCAGGGTGTGGATGCCTGCTCTCCACCAAGGTCCCTGTGTGTCCTTGGGCAAATCACTTACCTCTCTGAGCCTCAGATTCCCCCTCTGTTCTAATACTTGACCACGTTCCCTCAGAGAGTTGCTGCAAGGAAGACATAGGATGATGACATGAAAGTATTTTGTAGAGCATAGAGTGCCATTCTAATTAAATATCTTATTATAAAAAGCCATATAATTAATTAGCTGGCTGTGTCTGCATTTTCCATGCTGGATTGGGAGCTCTCCACCCACTGGCTCCCACTGCTCTTCTAATAAAACTCAAAATGACAACTTGACCCCTGAGGCTTGCATATTATGGTCTTTTGTTCACTGCCCCCTTTTCAATGTATTCCAACTTTACTGACCCCTCTGTTCCTGCCTCGGGGCCTTAGCACATGCTGTTTTCTCTGCCTGGTACACTTCCCATCTCTGCCTACAACCATTACTCTGCATCCCCACTTTGCCTGACTAACTGCTCATCTTGCAAATAGCAGATTAACTTCTTCAGGACAGTCTGACATGACTAGGTAAGGTCACCCTATTATGCACTCTCATAGCCTTTCTTCCATAGCACTTTAGAATACATTTACTTTGTATGCACAGTGCTGTTTTTGGTTTAGTCTGTCTTCCCCATTGGAAGGGAAGCTTGATGACAGCAAAGAACATATATATTTCAGCAAGTCCTGTACCTGGTTGAGCACTTGGCACAAAGTAAGAACTCCACAGATATTTGTTGAACTCATTTTAAAAATCAACAAATGTGAGCAGACACTGCTTTACTCATATTTTATCGGCTATAAGGTGTGCCACAAAGGTTTGTTATGCTATAACCACTTTAGACTGGTATTTTTTGAGCATGAGGCCCATAGGATAGAAATAGGTGTTACATAAGAAAAAGGGTTGTGTGGTTAAATAATTTGGGAAATGGAAGGTTAAGCAAATGTAAACAGATTTTAACTTTTTTTTTAAACTACAGGACTTCTTAGAACCATGCTTGGGTCCCTGAGAGATGGCAATGCAAAGCAGAACCCCCAGCTCAACCATATGCGTGCATGGTGTGAGAAATACATCTTCCATGCCTTAAACCACTGAGACTGGGGGTCACTACATCCAAATAAGCCAGTCTATTGTGACTAATGCATTGTCCATCTACAGTATTTTTTAATATTGAAAAATCTTATAGGAATAGGAAGCCAGATTTCTGGGAATTCATGAAGAGTGAGTCCATTGAAGGGTAGGTGGCTGGGTGACCTTCACTTACTCATTCACTAAGGTCAGGGGATAAGAGTCATTCTGCCCCACACATGACCAGGGAGACAGAACCATCCTTCTATAGCAGTTGAAATTTGATGGGTAGTAGGTTAGATTTCAAACCAGAAGGGATTTAATCATGGACTGATTAACACATTCAATAAACACTCATTGAGCACCTACTACATGACAAGCACTGTTAGGCGCTGGGACATACCAGTGACTAAGACATAGGTTCGCCCTAACTGGTTTGGCTCAGTGGATAGAGCATCGGCCTGCGGACTGAAGGGTCCCAGGTTCAATTCCGGTCAAGGGCATGTACCTTGGTTGCTGGCACATCCCCAGTAGGGAATGTGCAGGAGGCAGCTGAATTGATGTTTCTCTCTCATCAATGTTTCTAACTCTCTATCCCGCTCTCTTCCTCTCTGTAAAAAAAATCAATAAAACATATTTAAAAAAAAAAAAGACATAGGTTCTTAGAGCTCAGAGCCCAGAGGGGGAGACATATAAGTAAAGAGTCAATTTCAGCATAGTGTTTTAAGAGCTAAAAAGTCACCCAACACAGAGGAAAGGCACCCAAGACAGATATGGGATTGGAGGAGCTTCTTGGAGGAGGTGACATCTGAACTGTGATTCAGAGGATAATTAAAAAGAAGCTCAGCAAAAAAAGAAGGGGATGCATTCCAGGCAGAAGGAACAACTAGCAGAGTTGAGGAATCCACTTCAGGCTATAGGAGGACCCAGCAGGAGACAGTGAGGTGCCAGGGAGCACAGCGCCTTCTCTAAGGGAATCCAAGTGAGGAAGAAACCTGAGCTTAAACCTCAGCCAATAGGTGTGCTTCAGGTAAGGGATTTAAGAGGCAAGGAAAAAGGGACCGAGGATGAGCAGGACCTCTTCTAGGGCAGTGGTCGGCAAACTTGCGGCTCGGCAAACCGCAGCTCGGGAGCCACATGCGGCTCTTTGGCCCCTTGAGTATGGCGGTATTTTGTGGAAGACCCACACTCAAGGAGCCAAAGAGCCCATGTGGCTTGCGAGCTACGGTTTGCCGACCACGGTTCTAGGGGCCAGAGTGACCCAGAAAGCAAGAGAAATCGTCTGTGGTTCAGCTACTGGGATGTTGGAGTCATGAGTCAAGGCACTGAGAGTGTAGCTTTGTTGTTTTCTCCTTAGCCTAATATGCTGTGTCCCGTCAGCCAGTCGTCCATTCAACCAATCAAAGCATAATATGCTAATGATATGCTAAGGCCGCTCAACCGCTCACTATGACGTGCACTGACCACCAGAGGGCAGACGCTCTGACCGGTAGGTTAGCTTGCTGCTGGGGTCCGGCCAATCGGGACTGAGTGAGACGGGCTGAACAAGCCCTGGAGCCCTCCCCTGACTGGCCAACCTTCCGCATCCCTCCTTGCCCCAATCGTGCACTTGTGAGGTCCCTCGGCCTGGCCTGCGCCCTCTCGCAATCCAGGCTGAGGGACCTCCCCGCCCCCCGCTCCCTGAGTGTACAAATTTTGTGCACCGGGCCTCTAGTTTTGTAATATAGATTTTAAAATTCCAGCCAGATTCAGTTGGACTAAAAGAAGACAGAATTGAACTAGACCGAAGGCCAACCATGGTGGCTGTCAGAAATCTGGAATAGATACCGGAGACAGGGCTGATGTGTCCCAGCACCAGGTGTAGGCTTCCTCCGTGATTCTTAGTAGAACTGCCCACACTCCCAACCCCTCTAAGGACATCTGGCCCTCTCCTTGGGAACCCTTCTCACCTCAGGAAACTGCCAAGAACGAGTCAGCTAGTCTTTAAGGGACACTTTCCTGACTTCCAGCCTTTCCTTGTCCTCTATACAATTACCTGCATCCATTCA